AAGAAAGGGAAAGCTGGGCTAAATTTTGGTAAACAGGGCTACCCCAAGACATTTTTCTGCCACAGTCAAGGGACAGTATGATGCCACCTCCTGTTCCATGCTGGGCTGGTAGGTGAATTTTACATTGAAATGGAGGCAGCATATTTCGTTGCATCTAAAGGTGGCAAGTTTGCTTAGACGGTAGACAGAGCAGACTACATCATGCATACCAAGCTCTCTCCATCACTATTTTGCCACTGCCTCCCAGAATTTGCCACCTGAGGATGAGTGATAGGACCAGAGCTGTTTATATGTTCAACAATGGTTTAACCTTATGACCAAATAGCAACTGTTGCATATCTATACCTGTAAGATACGTTAGTGCTTCGAAAGGAGTTTCTTCGTATTCATTCAGAAACATCTGGATCTGCCTCATGCTGATTCTGAGATCAGATTCATTGAATTCGTATGGAATGTTCCAGCCTGTATGCATTATGGGGAAATACATTAAATCCACATTATAGCAAAGTTTTGTTCTGGAAAAAAAAACACCAATAGCATTCAAAACTGAGGAGCTTAACCAACGAAGACAATACCATACCAACAACCAAGCTTTAGCCTCAGTTTTGCATCCAAGTGGGATATATTTTGGCTTAATTAGCTCCTCAAAGGCTATTCCAGGTCTAATAATCATCCACATTGCTGCTGTTAAATATTACTCATCTGGTCCTTAGCTGACATTTTAGAACTACTGAATTCAAAACTAAACAGTGCATTCCAAGGAAAAAGGGAAAAAAAACTTTTAGCTAACTGGAACAGCAGATTTCTCTATGGCCACCAAGGAGTTTTGAATGACAGATTCAAATTTGTCACCACATACAGTATAAAATCTGTTTTTCAGGGTGTCTTCAGCAGGAAAAAGAAAGCTGAAGGACTGATATACATGAGGAAATTTCCAATAAAAATCAAATCCCACCTTCATTTGAAGGAGATGATCGTCATCTGTGTATCGGCTATACAGTGATAATGTACACATGGAGTAAATGCCAGAGCACAGATTGACACAATCATCGTTACAATGGTTGTACCGTTTTTTGGTATGGGGTCAGAAGCTGTTTTCAGTATCAGGCTAATCCATGTCAATCCTCCAGCTTCATTATGAAACATTTTGTGAACTGAGTCAAAGAACAAGGGATCATTTTCCCTGCATGCACACACAATCCCCACGTGCACGTATAATGTCTCAATGTATTGACTTGAGACCTCAATCAGGCTTAAATGCAAGCCAAGGGACACTTGCGATGTATAGGATGAAACCTTTCCCAGATAATTTGACAGAGAAATTGTGAGAGAACGGTTACAAGAAAGAGGGAACATATGCACGCACGTGTGTGCATACGCACACACACACACACACATGAAACTTTTATTAACCTCTGTTTCATTAAATAATATGAATCATTCTTGTTTTAGAGGCTCTCTTTGGCTATCAATAAAAGAACACAAAAACGCAAAAGAGCCCTGAAATGGTTGCTTCCTGTCGACAACCTCTTTGGGAGGGAACAGATAGTTGTGTGAGGGTTTTTTTCCCAACCGGACAGAACAATTTTTCGACAAGTGTGTGGATGTAACATCCCAATGGCCCACTCTGCAAGACCAAAAGTATCCTCCACCTCAAGTTTTGGGTCAGAAACCTCAGGCAACAGGATGCTGTTGACCTGGCAACCCCAATAATCATGTTTCTGCAGAGTTTCCAAAATGCTGCCTATGCTGGTTGTGAGATTATCCACTGTCATCCATGCCCCAGGCAGTGGACAGTGGATGATCTCACAGCCAATTAGGATGATCCCTAATTAATTCCTAAAATTAATTTAGGAAGCCTGAGACAGGTTAGCTTTGAAAGAGAGGTCTGGAGAAATGCTTGAAGGGGCTGCTACTGCAGCACCTGCAACCAAGGGCAGTAGCTCCATCGTGTCTTATAGCAGGGTGGACCATACATGCTGTTTTTAATTCTGGTGGTACGACATATGATGATGATGCCAATGCCATGTAGTGGACAAAATGTTAGCCTTACACAAGAAGAAGCCAAGGTCAATTCCCCTTTCTCAAATTGTCCAATAAAGGTGTTAGTTATGTGTGATCAAGTCATAACCAACTTATAGCAATCTCAATAGAGTTTTCAAGGTAATTGAGATATTTAAGGAGTGATTTTACCAGTTCTACTTCCCCCCCCAGGAGATTTCCATGGACAAGTGGAGATTCGAACCCTTGTCTCTCCAGAGTCCTTGTCCCTCCATCCACGACACCAGTGATTCTGAATCCTGGGTCCCCAGGTGTTCTTGGAATAAAACTTCCAAAAGTATTCAGTATTAGCTCTGCCAGCTAGGATTTCTGGGAGTTGCAGTCCAAGAACATATGGAGAAACAAGGTTGGGAAACAGTGCATTGCCAACACACTGTATACCCTAATAAAGATATAACCCATCTGTTATTTATGCACAGAATACCCCAAAAGTATGCAATGCCTTTATTGGGCCACTAAAATATGGCCAGCAGGTGAGATTTCAAGTCTGGACAGGCTGGGTGCTGCAGAGATAGTGTGTTAGGGGAGGAGGTGCTTTTAAATGTTTCTCTGCATTTTGTGAACCTTATAAAATCATCAAATATGTTGATTTTAAAAAGACGTCTTAAAAACTTAACAGTGCATAGAGTTATCGACAACATCTGGTCTAGCAAAGGCTGTGGGGGTGCCATTCCAACTTCCCTAAGACTATTTGATGTCCTAATTACTTGTGACTACATAGACTATCAGCCTGCTCATTTCGTGACTCCAACAAAAGGCTACTGTTCTCAAGACTTCGCAATGCTATTGATTCGGGGCTGCATACTGCAGTACAAATTCCATTGTTTCAGAAAAGAGTAAAACAATCACAACTTTACCCAAAGGGCCAAAGTTTCTTCTTTCTTGTACAAGAGCATGGAAAAAGCAAAGACCAAACAGCAGCTTCTGCCAGATTTCTTTCTTTTCACAACTGTTAAAGAACGTGGGATCAGAAACAGGGTCGTTGAGATACGATCGAAGGAGATTTGCTCTCAACCCTTTGGGCGGCTCATTGGTCATTTTTATTCCATTCTGGAGAATGCTCACTGGAAACTTTTCTGATGGATAACTGGTTAGCCATAATCTGATGAAGCAAGAAAAAAAATTAATAAAGTTATTGACATGGGGATAGATGAGACTAGAATGTAGAAAGAATAAGTTATTTCTGTCAAAATAAGTGCATAAACTATTGTTGGGCACATCGAGATGGGGGAAGTTGGAACAATCTAGTTCATGATTAAAAGGTTCTTATCTTTGGTGCAATCTATTTTACTCTATCTCTCACTTGAGCGATCCTTCCATTCATACATATCCTTGTTTTTTCTCCAGTGAGAAGGACTCCGCTAAGTCTTTGGCTCGCTACAAATTGGCCACGTTCTGATTAATGACACTCCCCTTTCCACCACCTTCCCTGCTTTTTTCTGTGGCCATCACTTAGTGGGCTCGAGCAACTTTCCTTTTTTATTCTTAAATAAAGTAAGTGACAGAGAGCAACAGCAATCTAGCATGTTACACATGATACCACAAATGTATATCATTTATCTAGGTTAGGACTGCATCAATAGGAAAATATTTTTAAAAAATTAAAATGGTAGAGTAGATGAAAATAGAGAAGGGAGTTTTCTCCATCATCCCTTTCAATGCCACAAACCACCAAATATGTCACAACGTTGTCACATCAGATAACACCGTCAACAGCTCTATTTGAGTGTGAACTAACCAGCTCCATGGGCTATAGAACAGGATATATAGGAGTACCTCAAATTGCACCAAAAAAACCTGTAGCTCCAGTGCTGTGTCACAGAGGAGTGGGAGGGCTCTGAAAAAGGGTGGGGTTGATCGCTCCCTGGAAAAGACCCTGATGTTGGGAAAGAGTGAAGGCAAAAGGAGAAGGGGACGACAGCGGACAAGATGGTTGGGCAGTGTCATTGAAGCTTCCAACATGAATTTGACCCAACTCCGGGAGGCAGTGGAAGACAGGAGGGCCTGGTGTGCTCTGGTCCATTGGGGTCATGAAGAGTCAGACATGACTAAACAACTAAACAACAAAGATCGCTCTAAGCCAAAACACTAGTACCACCATAGCTTGATACAAACCAAGCAGCACTAAAAGTGATCCAAATCACAAGCTCTATTCCCACCTAGATGTGCACTAAAGTAAGCAGTCACAGACGGTCAATAGACTGATAGGTAAGCAAGGGGTTGGCCTGGGTATCTTGTCCAACTTAACCTTCAACACGCTGCCATACGAGAAAAACAGCTCTAGTGGCTCATGTGCTCAAGTCTAGGTTTCATCCTGCTTTATCCCAAATGGATAAACGTTTTTGTTTCACTTAACTATAAGGATCCTGAGTAGAGATGGGGGTACAGTATTCATATTCTATGCGAATACGTTCCCCACAGGTGGAGATAATGAGGGTCCGGCTTCGTGGGGCCAGACCGCCACTCACCGTTCCACTGCTGTCTTAGGCTCCATGCTCCCTTCTTATCGCTCCAGAGCTTGTGGTCGGCTAGCCACTCCTGGCAGAAGGCAGGATGACAAGCCTCTCCGCCAAGTCGAAGAGTGGCTTGCAGACGGTGAGCTCCAGAGCGACAGGAAGGGAGCCCGGAGCCCGCAGCAGCAGCGAAACGATGAGTGGACGGTCTGGCCCCAGGGAGCCCCACCCACACTATCTCCACCTGGGGGGGGGGATATTTGTATTCATATACGAATACCCCCATCTCTAATCCTGAGGGAATACTCTTAATTCATAGCTCACCTTGCTCACACATATTCCTACAGTTTCCATGTTTCATCAATAATCTTTGTAAATTAACCCCCACAAGTTATTATCCTGCCATCATCATCCTAACTGCCACCACACCACTACCATAATCAAATCCACCTTTTAAAAGCTAGTAGTTTGAAGTTTTTTCCTCCACATCTTGGGAGTTTTGTATGATTTCACATTACAGTTTTTATTTAAATTGTTGTTGTTTATTGCAACTTTTGTTTTTGTATTACAATTTGATGTTCTCAGGTATCATACCAATGTAATAAATGGTTTATCAACGTAAGATTTCTGTCACATCCATGTATAATTAAACAGTCAGTTCCCACCTGAATTTAACATGTGTGTTCTCAGGCACAATGACTTCTTCACAGATTTTTTCCAAAGCAGGCATCCAGCTGGTTGCAAGATGGCAGTTTTGCAATACAACCCAAGTGCCATCAGCTATAGCTTGATTAATCATCTTGGCTGCAATTGGACCTTGCCCTTGTCCAAGAGAAATTGTCTGAAGGTTCTCCATGCCAAGGTCTTCAGCAAACTTCAACAAGCCTGGGGTCAAAAACTTTAAGATACTTTAAAATGTATCCACAACCTTCTATCAGGTCTTCTTAACATGATGCTGAAATAACCTTGGGCTCTCAAACTCTACATCAATGGAGCACAGACTCTGATAGGTCCCCCAAGTTGGCAAGGGATCAAGTCTGGGTCCAAAGGCAGACTGAATGTCTGCAATCCAAGGACCAGCTTGGTTAAACATGGAGAAGGCAGCTGGCCACCTGGTGATAAATCAGCTGTAACAAGTATGAACTCAAAGAAAGCATGAACCAGCAGCAGTCTACTTTGGTGAAAGAACTTCCATGCACCAAGGAAATCAGAGCTTAATGATAGGTAAGGTATGCTTACAAAATAAAGGCCTAGTGTTTTCGTAAAAACCAGGAAGAGTATTTTTTAAAAACTCATGACTGAAACTAAAAACAAATAAATTTTCAAGTGCTTTCTTGGGAATGCATTTCATTCAAGATACTGGATTGGACAGGATATATCCTGTACAAAACACACACACATATACACTATTACTTGAATGCCATGCTACAAGCTCAGTTGGAGACATGAGCATAGAGAGAAACAACACATAGAATTTTGAGTGTACAAACCTAATCTCCTAAAAGTGTCTTATCTTATCAAGGAGATAACATGTTGAGGTGGTCAAAGAAGGAGTTTGTCCACTCAGCACATAACAATTTCCGTTCCCTGGAAGGGATAAGTGGCTTTGTTTTCCTTCATAGCCAGTTTCAACATAGGGTAGAAAAACCCTTCGGTTATCCAGGTAAAGGGAACCCCTCTGCCACAGGAGGGAGGGCAGCCATCTGTATGGCACCTGGCCTCAAGAGACATGCTCAGCTGGACTAAAGGAGCCTGCCTAGTGTGAAATATCTGTGTGGTTCCTTTTGATATTGCTTTCATGCTGTGCAGCTGTCAGCTATCTGTATAATGCACCTTCCATGGCACCAGTAGCTCTCCATCTTCATCAGAACTCAGAGAACACGAGCACACTGAGGTTCTGACTGGTCCAAAACCACCAACTACCACAGATGAGTCTGCCTATTTTTTTCACTAAAGGTATACATAAGTCATCTGGTTGCTTAAGAAGCTTACCTGCCATTGGATCAGCACCTGGAGACAAGACAAAAATCAGGGGTGCACAGCAGTTAGAATCATTGTAACTGCCTGCAAGATCAAACGTCGGAGGTTCAATATAGGTTCTTCCCATATTTTCTGTGATGAACTGCTGGGTTGCTGGAATAATTTTATCTGGTCTCAAACATCGGAGAATAACCATGCGATCAAGACCCGTAACTAGACTCCATTCATCTGGAAACTGTTCTTCATGAGGTTTGGCTGAATCATAAATCCACTTCCATTTCCATACATTGGATTCAACATGATCCATCAATCTATTCAGGTTTTCAAGGCTCGAAGCCCGCACTATCTCAGCCCATGATTTGTCAGTCAACCACTCTGGAGCAGGATTGGGATAAGGGTTGTCAAGAGCAACCCCCCCTGTCAGTAAGAAACGCCAAACTTCATCATCTATCTCACCTTTCCCTTTCATTATCCCGATAGTCAGAATGAGAGAGAAAAGCAGCTTGTCTTTCTCAAACAGGGAACGACAGACATTATTATAGATGCTTATTGTGAAATGTTCAATGATGTTGTCTATTCTCTCCTCCAGCATGTCACTCTTCCTGCTATTAGCAAGGGACTGGACATAGAGATTAATGAACCATATCAAGGAATATTGGTACATGGGCTCAATATTTGCCAGATCAGAAATGCAAAAGAAGACAGTTGCTGAATGAACAGCTACAGGCTTGTATCCCATCCGAGTGGCATCTATTTCCATTTCAGTGACAGTGGCAATTTCCTGCTTTTCTGAGATTTCTTCAGATAACTCTTTGGAGGAAGAGAGAATTTTTATTGCTGTTTCATCTTCTAAGATGTTTCCTTCTGATTTGGAAAGGACCTCAAGGATTTTATCTTCTATCTCCTTCAGCTGTTTCTTGTTCGCCGCACTTTCAACAATCAGCTTATTTTTCTTCTCTTCTAGATCAGGTTTTTCCTTAGCAGCCACAATTCCCAGAAGCTGGTCTTGAAGACCAAGAGGTGTAATCATGAAATTGACCAGACAAACTTTCACAGCTATTTCAGGGAGATAATGAGGATTTCTCAAACGTGTTGTGATGTAAAGCTTGAAATCTCGTGAAAACTCAATAATGTTTTCTCCTAGCCTCATGTACTCAACTCCTTGCTGTTTGAAAGTAGTCTTTAGTAACACTGGCTCCAAGAAAGCATCAAGTTCTTCACCAATATTTTCAAGCAAGACTGGGGTTCCAAACTGGATAGCATTTTCCAAGGTCCGCACGTAGTTCGTGTCAGATAATTTGATAACAGAAAGCTTATTGCCCTTTTCCATATTTTTGACCCATTTGTTGGCTTGTCCTTGAGGGTCAATCATTAAAGCCCACCTTCTGGAATTGGAAACAATGATACCATTATCTATTGAAAAAGAATCAATGGGCAATCCTGCAATCTGCCAAGCACGAATCTTGACTGGATCCCCTAAAGTGTTACTCAGGCTAAAATCGTTTGAGCATGGGATTTTCTCCTCCTTGCAGAGCGTTAACCATTTCTGCTGACATTCAAGACGGTAATCAACCGTAAATGCTCCAAGATAAGCAACTGTACCTGAAGATAATAAGACATCCCCAGTAAGATCTGTGTACCGGACTCCCAGCTGGCTTGCAGCCTCTGTCCATCTGTCCTTCTCTCCTCCCAAGCCACTGATCAGTTTTTCAGCTCGTATCAGCTTTTGAGAACATATTTCAATGTTGTCCTCCAGTTCTTTCTTCCGGTTATTCATTTCTTCAAACTCATCGTTCAAAGCTTGGAGGCGATCCATCAGGTCCTTGAGTTCTGCACGCTTTGTATTCAGCTTCTGCATTTGGATATCAAGCAACCCTTCTGCCTCCCGAAGGCGTAACCGTTTCGGAGCCACCACTTTTGCAACACGGTCATAGACCTCCATGGCTCTCACCCACTTGCATAAGCCTTCACAGGCAGAAGATACATTTTTTATGACCGCTGGCTGGAAGTCTGGATGATTAATGAACCTCTCCCTAATTCTCTTCATTACAGCATGAGGAATGTTATCTTTGTCGTAGGTCTTCAAGCTCTCAAGGAATTTCAGGTCTCCTAGGACTTTTTTGGAACTACCCCAGTAATCTTCTATCATTTTACCTGCAGTTCACAAGAGTAAATTAAAAATTAAAATAAAATAAAAGATCTTATGGACAAGAAAATCATGTACAATAAACAGTGCATGTACTCTGCCTTTTGCAGACAATGCCTTCCAGCTCCATTGAGTTACAGCTCCCATAGCCTTCAAGTGCAAAACAATCTAGAAGACATATGGCTAGGGAAAACTGAGCCACCTAAAGACCAATACTTTAGCTATAATATTACAATTTTTTTTAAAAAAAATATACTCCAACATTAGAATCCTCACTGAAGATTTCAATTGGTACTGTCACTCCAGACCCAGCCACTCACTTTATGACAATTTTTGTTTTAAAAAGGAATACATGGTGGAAGTAATATAGGAAAAAGGGGTAATGCTGCTCTTGGTTGTATTTACTCAACTAATTAGTTCTATTTACCTTGGGAGGAAAGGTCTGTCAACTAGTGAAATAATGGAGCTGCCACTTTCAGAGGCAAGGAATAGAGTGGGCATCAGAGAAAGGCTGGTAGCTTCTTGTCTTCCTTATGAGCTTCATGCCCCCCCTTCTTTTTTTAATCAGGAACAGAGAATAATGGACTTCTAAGGGAGTGCAATTTTTGACTTAAATATTCACCAAATACTTCTTCGTTTACAGTGTGAATAGAAAGAACGAGGTCAAAAGAGTAGTACCTCTGACCTTGTACTAAGGGGAAATGTTTACCTGCATTATAAAACTGTTTCAGAATAAAGCCACAGATTAAAAGAGAGATTTGGGGACTCTTAAATAAATGGCAAAAGTCATTTATATTCAGAGACTGGGAGATTTAGTGCATTCTTGGTCCTTCATCAAAATCATTTTTAAACATCTGGTTAGTTCTTCAGTTAAAACAAATGATGAGGAAGTAGATATTTCATTGCATTTACTGTACAGTATATCCCACTTTTCTCCCATTTACTTTAATTAATAGTTGTCAACCCGCAGGCTGTGGCACAGAGTAATAAGACAGGAAGAGAGGTCCTTCCACCTGCCCGTTTGAAAGAATGCTTGCTTTTCCTTCCTGCCTCCTTCATCCCTTCTTGCTTTTGTTCTAAGCCTGTCTGTAAACCTGTGTTAACTATATGTAAGCTGCAATGGAAACAACTGAAAAGCTGTGGGGGGTGCATATATTTTAAACAAAGAACATAAATCTCCACAAAACAGCACATGGCTAATAAATCCTCCACGGCCACAGAACTGAGTTGGGTTTCATTTAATTTCATTTTACCACTTCCGCTTGGATCCGGCTTTCTTTCTGGTTTTATCCCTTTCATGACACAAATGCTCTCCATGACAAGCTTAACAGGCCCTGGGGGATTCTGCATGGATTTGACGAGGGAGATATCCGAAGGATTGAGGGTATCAAGAGCAGCAAGGGCAGCCTCCAGAGCTGGCATGGCCTCGGCAAGGTCCCCCTCGCATTCTTCCTGAAATCACATCAAACATAATCCCAAAACATTGTAAGCACCACTCTGCATATCTTAAATGAAACAGTAATCGTGTAGGAATAACTATTTCCTTTCATCCTTTAAAAAACCATTTCTCTTCTGAGAGCAAAGGGTACATGGGTTGGCTCTTTCCAACCCCTTGGCTTCAAGGTATCAAATCTAGGCAGCAGTTGGATTTTAATCCAGAGCTTGGAAAAGTTACTCTTTTGGACATCTCCCAGAGACTGCTAGCCAGCATGCCCGCTGTTTTCCTGGCTGGGAAATTCTGAGTTGTAGCCCAAAAAATGTCACTGTTCCAAGCTTGGTTCTAACCCAGGGGAGAAAGATCCAGGCGAGTCAAACAAATCAGTAGAGAAAGCTCTGGACGAGATAGGCTACAGTTGAGGAGACTCTAGCTCTCCAGATGTTTGTGACATCAACTCCCCAAAGCCCTAGTGAGCATATAAGCTAACAGTAAGGATTTGATAGTGCGTTGTTACCCATAATATCTGGAAAGTCACACACATTCCCCCAGCTCTGAACCTGGAGGAGCTCCCTCCTCATTCCACATGCAGAAGCTGGCTTGGATTGGCCATGGAGTCTCACTTTGGTTCCTCAGTTGAGATAATGTCCTCTGCCAGACCTGAGGGCACCAGTCTAGTTTAAGGGCAGACAAGCTGGCATGCACGCTTTGTCATCAACATAGAGAGGTGCCTGGAGATGCGAAAAGTAATAGGCTCCCACTCAGCACAGCTATGTTAGGAATAAAAAGGCACCAATGCTCATAAAATCAAAACTGGTGGTAGACCATGACAGACAAATAGACAGCCTGGTGGCTATAGCAACATTTCCTTCTTGGTTGCTCTTCTTCTTCCTTTTATTTTTTTTTTCTTATTATTATCATTATTATTGATTCAATTTGTATCCCACCCTTCATCATGAGAGTTTTTAAGGCAACTAGTGATTTACCGGTACATAAAAACACAATTAGGATTCTAAATTACACATGTCCAAAATCAAACACCTAAAATCACAGTTTATATAACCCTGATTTTCCACTCATTTGAAATGAACATTGCTACTATTAGGCTTTACTTCTCAACTCCTTCTGTTACCGAGTCAATATGTTGTTGTTTCCTTTCATAATAGCGAGGTTGCCACACCTCAGCAATCCCCATAAAAACTACTAGCCTAGAAATATATTTTTCCTGCTTTTACCTAATTATAAATCCTCCAGAATAGTTTCTACTATGTAATAACCATAAGTTCATGCAATATTCTCCTGCTATTCTCTCTACTGGCATAAATGTCAAATACTTTTTTAATAGGCCAATGGTAAGGTAATAGTTATAGTCCAAGAGTTATACTTCAAGATATCTGGAGGGCCAAAGGTTTCAAATCTCTCATTAGTATCTAGGTTGGTTGTGAGAATCCTGGGGGTGGGATTACAGGCCTGAAACAACATGTGCTGGCTTCTTATCTACTTCTCGATTCTTATTCTTCATCTGCCAAACTGCAGCGTGGGAAAACTCTGAAAATGACCTAACATTAGGACGCGTGGCAAAATTACCTTAATACCCTGTGCAACAGCAGCAGCTTCATTGGCCTCCTGTTCATCAGCAGCCACCAGTTCTTTCTTAGCATCCACCTCAGCAGTTTCTTTTTCTATGTGGATCATCATTTTCTCAGTTTCTGCAGAGGTCTGAATCAACTGAGGCTGAAGTGCTGTCAGTTCCTTTTGCATAACTGCTACCTGCAGAAGACACCAAGGAAGAGATAAATAATCTTTATACAATCTAGCAAGCAGGAGGTGGGGGGGAATGATTATTTCAGAGGACTAGCAAAAGAAAGCAACAGCAACAATGATAATAACAATAACAACAATAGAAACACAACAATACAAGAACAGCAGCAAGGATGGCATAGCAATTCAAATGAGGATTTACTGCAAAAAGGGGTAGCAGATAAGGGTAGGTTAAAGTAGATAAATAGGGGATAGAACAAGCCTAAGTGAAGCACACTGTGTTGTCTGAATATTCTTTGTCTTTAGGTACATTTATAATTGATGCTTTTGCTTTTGAATTGTGGTGCTGGAGGAGACTC